AAGTAGAATTCTTATGCGAAAATAATATTTTCGTTTAAAAGCTAAAGTTTCTATAGGGATAATAATCTCATCCTTGTTGTATGTAGAATTCTCGTTCGAAAAGGAAATATGAAGTTTTCTAGGATTCGAACATTGCGGATTCGGCTTTGCAGTGTACAAAAAGAATTTTAATTAAAAAATGAAATATTTTGAACAAACATATGATATGAACCAATCTATCAGAGAACATCTTTCTATTTCAAACAATTTATTCAGACATTCTTCTATAAAACAATATAATTAAAAACGTGCCATCGAGTAGTATAATTGTTCTACATATGAAATTTATTTTTCTTTTCAAAGATATATGACACTATTTCAAGTAATCACCACAATCCTATTACAAATTAGATCATCGTGAGAAAAAAATACAAGGTACTTTGGCACTCAACTTTCTAAAAGCAAAAAAGAAAGATTAATATTTTGCTTTGCTATGCTGACTTATTTGTGCACTGCTACCATGTGAGACCGTATCAATAAGTTTCTGGTCAGATGTGGATGTTAATCATCTTCTTAGTACTAGACAGTTAAAGTTTGGAAAATAAGCGTCTCTAAATGCTGATGTGTAGTTTTTCAAAGAGTTGATCACGAAGTGTATTTTGAAACGTGAATTTTAATGTAGAGTCCAGCCAGAGAAAACGAAAAACGGTGTGAAATTCTTTCTTGCATTAATCGAAAAAGCATTGACATCACTTTCATCTGACTCTAGATTATTGTAGGATATCATCTTGTGTTTGATTCGCACCTTATAGCCAAAGAAAGACTCTATTCGGAATAACTTTTCCAGAACCGTAATATATTTCCCGTAGCGCTATTGAAAGTGCGCAGTAAACGTTTCAGTTCTTTACAACGGGCGCAGATCTGTACTAAAATACTCACTAAGCAACTGAAATGGTCATGTGTTGATATTAAAAACACACAATTATGATTGAAAAATAGCGATTGCTGCCAGTCGTATATACGATATAGACAATTTTTTGTTTTTAAATACTGTATTAAGATGAATTTTAATAATAATTTACGATGAAAATTCTAGAGAAACGGATACTATGCACGTTCTTTTGTTTCTTAATGAATTCTAAATGCATATTAGATGTTATTCTGAAAATAAAAGCCCTAACTTGTCAATCCTTCATATATTTGCACACTGGAAATGTGAACGAGTCAACATCTTTTTTTCGAGTTCAAATCGAAGTCATTCGTAGACAATTGTGCAAATAAAAACGAGGTTTACCCTAAGTGCATAGATAAATTATGACTATGTATGCCCTAAAATCGGTATACCGAAAATACCGAACACATCAAAAAGTTTTCGCACAAGGTGCTGCTGATTTGCGCAATAACCATGAATTGCTGCCATTAGAATCTGGATATGAACCAAGATCAAGATATCTTGAAAATATTGAATCAAGAGTCTTGATCATCGAGACTATTGATGATCAAGACTAGAGAGAATTAGAGAGTCTTGATATCAAGAGTCTTAATTTCCAAGATCTCGTATTGTTTTCTTGCTTCTTGCAAACTTTTTTGAAATAGTTTTTATGAGGATGAGGGTGAGGGTGAAATAATTGAATTTCATTAGATGTCTTATAACTTATGACTCTCCCCTTAGCAGTGATGTATAGCTAACAAAGGTTTCAGTTACTTCTTTATCAGACGTTTCACCATCTTTTAGCAAGTATTTCACCCTCAGCCTCACCCTTACAAAACCTTACTTAAAGAGTCGACTGGCTGAAATATCTGCTAAAAGAGTGCTTCTTGTTACTTTATTAAAAGTAGCAAAGTAACAAATCTTTGTTACTTTGTGACTAGTAACAAGTAACAAAAATTGTTACTTGTTACTGGTAAAGTAATGGTAAACAGATAGCCCTAGATAGAGTGATGTTTTGATCTGCTGAAAGAAAAAGTATTCTTTTTTTCTTATATCTGTTCTTATGTGACTATTGTCGGGGGAAAAAAAGAATAGGTTTGGATGTTTTTTTAATACCGTTTGAGAAAAGTTATAGACTTCAAATCTTTGCCAATTGGAAACCAAGACCTGACCACATCTTTTGATCACTGACGTCATTTTGAAAATCTTCTTTCAAAGGACGTTTTCTAGAGAATCTTTAGAAAATTATGTTATTACTAAAAAGCTTATAATGAAAATACTTTGATTCCTGAGTATGGCCAAATTTGTCTGGTAAATGTGATTATTTTATCGAAAAAGTTAAATAATATATTTTTTCAGAAATCCTTTTCATAAAACCATTCAGTTTTATAAACTTGTTTTTCTAGATTTCTGACAACATATGTGGAAAGGTGTCATTTGAATATACTATCAAATTATTTTTCTGACTCCTTAGTATAGGAGAATTCTTATAGGTAATATTTACATAAATAACAAAAAAATATACCCGTTTTTCATTGTTTGAGAAATAATGTTAGAACAACTACAGCATAAACGGATAGTACGTGGTATGTCGGCTAAGTGTATCCACTTTAATCCTACTGATACACTCATGTTTTAAACAAAAAAGTAATCCTCAATTTCAAGAAGTTTTAAGTATGAACAAGCTTCGAATAATATTTCACTTCCCCATGTTTCTTGTTTCTGAGCAAGTACCGTTATTGAGATATCTGCTGAGAATGTTAGTAGCTAATGAACGGAATACAGTGGGAGTAGAATTAAAACATCAATTTTATAAAAAATACTTTTCCTCGATAAAATGAGCTTTTGATTCTCCCACTGAATTCTGATAAATGAAAAACTATGGGTTATACATTATGTGAATCATGCTAACAGCTGTATGACAGAGACAACGGTGTCTGATACGAAAGAGTATTATCAAGAATTTATTTGTTAAATCTAGGATCCGTCAATACTTGCAAAATAGAAAGATTTTCAAGAAAGACATGTCAATAATACAGCCAAAATAATAGTTTTTCATTACTTTAATATTTTAATGGCAATATTTAGGTAATTGTTTGTCAAAGAAAACAAAATATTATAACCGTTAACAATGTTTTCTTTTTCATTACACAAATAAGTACTAGTTTATAAATAAGTAATTTAGCACATTTTCATTTCTTTTTTAATTAGGGCATAGTGCTGTTTTTCTATATTTGACAAAGTAATGTGAAAAAGTTTCTAGTTGAAATCTAGGGATCTGCTTTTTATAGAGATCTACTTATTAACAAGTTTGTGAGATTGCTATAAACACTTCTCAGAATTGGAAACTTCTTCAGCTGCTCAAATTGGTTTTCAGATTGAAGAAACGTAAATATTCGAGGTGAGATCAACCTTTGTGTAGAAGCCCAATTTCTATGCTGAATTCGAAAAAAAATTTGACAATTAAACAAAAAATGTTCGATATTTTTCACAAATTAACCGTTTTATGAAATTCTACACTCTTCCAGTATTTGGACAAATTTCTCCTTCAAAATTCAATCTTTTTACCCGAAAACCTAGATAATTTTGATTAGTTCGTCGAGCTCTATTGAACCATGTGTAATATAGTCCAAAATAAAATAGTACTTAAACTTAGAATTTGGTACGCCTTACACACACACACACACATGAGTAAAATATCGAACCCATTGAGATTGATTTGTGTCAAAAAAATTAATTTCGATGCTTTGATAGACCATTACCATAGAAATCTCGTAAAGATAGATGTGTCCTTCATACATTATATTAGTTGATAATAGAAAGAGTAGGTGAGATATTTTTATTGTTCAACGGCTTGGTTATGTGGTAAAAGAGAAAAACGGACAAAGTTTTGGTAAATTCTTTGAAAGTATTTTTACAGTACCGCATCTAGAGGTTTTGTTTTTTCTTTAACTAGTTTTAAAAACTGAAAATTAGATTGATCGAAGTGAAATTGAATCGAATACAACCATACGTCACATGAACAAATTGTTGTACAAAAATACAACAGATCAGTTCTCTCAAATAGGAAAAGTAATATCGGATTTATTTATTTTACACACTTGTTTACGTTGATATATTCGATTCATATCAGATTCTTGATGATCAAAATACTGTTATAGTATTACATCTGTTCAAACAAATAGATGTGAAATAAAAGTATTAAAATGTTTTATACAGGTTCTGGTACAATATCGGCATAATCAGGTAAATGTAATGTTGTTTTTGTTGAATCTAACATTTGTTTTTGTATTAAAGTTGGACAACATATTTCATTATCATTTGTTATTTGTTGTATTTTCCATAGTAAATCATATTGTATTTCATCAGTTACAATTGAATCATGTTCATATTTTGGATGTTGATCAACATATTGTCGTATCCATTTTGCATCTGTCATTAATGTACCTCTTGCACGTTTTGATATTAAATTTAGATATTGTTCAATTGTTGATCGTGTATCTGTATCAATTGTTTCTAAATGATATAAATATTGTCGCATTAATGGTATTAAACCAGCAAATTGTTCAGATCCATTCATAATTTCATTAATTGACATTAAACGATATTCTTCTCCATCTTCTTCTTTATCTTCTTCATTTAATTTGTTATCTTCTATAAAAATAGAAAACATTCATATTCCTATTATATCTGTCCCAAAAAGAAAACGAACGTAACCATGTTTATTGTTTTTTGAAATAACTTTAGTTAGAGTTTTCCATCCATCATTCGAAATCCAAAGCATTGAAAAATCTTTTTTTCGAAAATAGACATTTCAAAGAGTAAAAATTCAGAAAGAAAT